AATATAATAATAACGTAAATAATATAATAACAAACGTAAATAATATAATAGCAAACATAAATAATATAATGTTTTTTGTAGGCTTAAGACAGCTGGAGCTGGACTTTGTGAGGGACCCGGATTTTAGGCGACCTCGTATGCCAGTTGATTCCTTTTTTTTTCACACCCACACACACACTCACCTAAATAGCAAGATAAATATGAGGCGCCATCTTCCTTACAAAAAATTGGTATAGTAGGAGGTTATTTTTCACCCCTGCTTGTGAAGATTGGCAGTCTTAATTTTTTTTGGCTGGAGTGGACACACGTTGACTACTCTGAGCCTAGTGTATAACATGTGGCTAATGGGCTTATACCACCTTAACTTTCAGTCTGCGGGGTTCAGTCGTGGCACGATCCAGTGTTCTTCTCATGACTAAAAATCATTATGAACAAATGTATCAATAGATGATGATTTTTAAATTTTTTATATAATATATAAAAAATTATATATTATATAATATTTTATATAATATATAATATTTTATATAATATATAATTTTTTATATAATATATAATAAATTATATTATATAAAAAATTATATATTATATAAAAAATTATATATTATATAAAATATTATATATTATATAAAATAATATATAAATATATAACGTAAAAAGCCATGTTATTTTTGCTAAATAATAAGTTAACAGATGGCGCCTCATAGTATGATAAGGCCCTGGGAAGTCATATTGCTGGAAAAAATAATTGGCCACTCAAAGAGTGCGATACTATAGTACAGTATGATGAACATGCTTGTTCGGGTTAGAACAGTTTATTGACCTCAATATAGATTGACACACACCTCACCCACTCAGTTGCAGCGCCAGAATCTAAAATTTGTGGAGGGGTTCAAGTAAGGGGATCAAGTGAGGGGCAGGGTAAAATTTTAGGGGGAAATATGCGCCCCGAAGTGGGCGAGGTCGGGTGTCGCTCAAAATGTCTCGAAAGTGATTCAGGGGGCGAAGCCCCCGAAAAATGACAATTTAGAGGTTTCAGAGACTTATTTAATCGATTTTATAGATACTGTAGATAGTTTGCTAATACGTTTGTTCGTTTTTTGGTTTTTTTTTTTTTTTTTTTTTTTGGGGGGGGGGGGGGGTGTGGGGGGGGTCNNGATAAAGAAAACTACCTACCCCCCACCCCGTGGCGCCGATAAAATAACAAGCCATAGGCCTATAAAGTTTTTAGTTTACAATCCCTGAGTATTCTGTTGTTTATTTAAATAAATTATGCTATTTTTAGAAATGCTTTTCACAATAGGCCTACAATTTGAAGATCTCGTTATAAGTTCAAACATATTAAGTGATACACTGTGTACGTTGTTCTGATCATCTACCTATTCTGATACATTACAGTCTTGTATATTATATCTTGCTTTCGTAACAGTGTCCTTGAAATCCCTAAATCGTCATAGTTTATAGATTCCTGACCCCCTGGACCACTTCCGAGCGATTTTGAACAGCGCCCTACCACGCCCACATACGCTTTAACAGTCGTGGACGCAGTGGTGGCGTCGGGGAAGACGATAAATTTTGTCGGGGAACAAACAAATCAAAACAAATTTTTAAAGGTAATATTCGTTTAGCCACCATATTGTTTGTGTTAACTTTTCATCACAACAATAACAATAATAATTCAATGAGACTAATTAAAAATAGTTTGCGTTCTGTTATGACAAATGCTCATTTAGATAACCTCATAATGGTTGGAATACATCGTGATAGGTGAAGCAACCTCGACCATGACAGATTTCATGAAAAATTTCCAATATAGAATTTCACTTCCAAGAATGAGGATTTGAAAATAAATTGCATGGTTACATTGCACTCTTTGTTTCTTGCTTTATTCAAAATGTTTTGGTTTGGGAAGCTGATTTCAACATTAGAAAGCATAGCCTATATGAAGTCGTATTATAGTAACTCAATTGCTATCAAATAAGTAATAAAAATTCGCCATAATTCATCAAATTAGGCGGCCCTCTGTCCCCCAGCCAAGTGAGACTCGATTCGCTCGACTAGCCCCCCCCCCCTCCGTCGGGCAGGTCCTGGCGCCACCACTGCGTGTACGTCGACCCCTGTCGGGCAAATCTTGGCCACCCCTGTTCCCCTACTATTAACAATTCTTCTATATAGTTAAAACCGCACTCAGTTTCAGAGCGAGTGGAACAATACGAATGACTATCAAATCCTATGAAAAGCATGAGCTAATAATATATACACTGTAAGAGAATTTTTTTTAATGAATGTTACTCTGCAAAAAAATTATAGGCCTAAGTGGACTTTTTTTCATCCAAGGTTACCAGGTAAATTTGATTTGATTTGATATTCTGAAAACGTGGTGTGGAACTTAAATTTTAATTGTAATAGTAATGTTATCCTTAACATCAATTAAATACCACTTATAAAAAAGCTAGAACGCCGGTTCCAGTACTATGCCCCATCTGGGGTCCTAGGCCCCTCCCCATGTTTAAGCACGGATTGACCGTACACTACAAACCATAAAGCTCGTTTCAGCCACCCCCAATACTGACTTGGCAAATGTGGTTTTACTAAGTTTTACCCACAAAATACAGGACGCATTCCAATGCAATGACAAACTGACCCGGAGGACACTGAACGTGTACTGATCATCCTCAGTTGGCCTGTTGTAAACCTTCTGTTAGTAAAATAGTACTAATAATAGTAAACTCTAATATACTCCATGTTTAAATTGTTCGCCATGTCCTAAAAACCTGAAAAAATAAATATTATGACCTAATTGCTTAGTTTGTATAATTATGTAGGTTAACAAAAGTATTTACTTGAAAATTCACACAAAAAAAATCTTGCCAACTAAGCGGCCAATTTTAAAATACCGTTCCTGATTATTTTGCTTATTACCCTAACTCGGCTGGAATGGATATTCGTAGTAAGGCTACTGTATATTTAAGACGGTAAATCTAATTGGTGGGTCGAAGGCCAGCCTTCCCGATTGCCTCTAGGACTACCGTAAGCAACGCTATATGAAAGCCCAGATTCCATTTAATCTCCGGACAACTTAAATCATACAACTAATATTTTAAAATATTATTTATTATAATTTTATGCAAAATCATCATTAGTTACTATTTTATAATTTTCTTAACTGTTTTGTTAACTTGGCCTATTCATGGTGGTACCATTGAAACACAGAACTTGACCTTTTTTTGAAAAATGGGTCCAGATTTCTCATATTTAGCTTAAAATAGGTAAAATTTAAGAAATGGGTCCAGATTTTTCACATTTTTGCGTAAAATGGGTAACATTGTTTGAATTTACGCGTAAAGTGGATCCACACTGATATTGTCCACCTGTTTGAAAATCCTGGCTACGGCATTGACTGTACTGGAATGTAGATAAAAGAGCCCAAATGACTGGTAGTCACCTATTACAGAGGGTATAATTATGTCGCACCTACTGCACATAAGGTACATATATATTTTTTTGGTTTTCTATTTGTTTTAAAATAGAAACCTCACTTGACATTTTAACTCAGCCTCAATTTGTTCTTATTTTGTTTTTATTTTTAAGCAATTTTAGCCTCAGTGTTTTTATTTAAAAAAACATAAATTTTTTTTTAAATGTATACGAATAAACTCTAATCCTCCACCCCAAAATATAGAGGGAGCGTTTTTAGACCATGGAAGGAATGGGGTTGCCATAATTACCATTGACAGGCGAGTGACCCACGGCTGATGTATTATAGTGCTAGAACGAGTGCCTCCCGGGAATTTCATCGGGAAGTAAAGGAGAGCCCAATCACACGAGTTACGTCGGCTCAAAGTCTGCATTTTTTATGTGTGGACAATCAAAATGTCACAAAGCCGGACCTGAGCCGACCTAAATTTAGTTCCGACTTTTGAGTCGGCTAAGAGCATTTTGAGCCTGAAATTGGCAAAAGAAGAATATGAACACAGAGCCTGGGAAAAGTTGTTTACCTCCTTTACGTATATTCATTGCTAAAAAATTTGAATTAAGCCTACACCTACCGTGGTATGAGCGAGTAGGCTAACCTGTTATTATTTATTAGACCTCCTTATGGAAGTGCCAATCGCATATTTTCAAAATCTGAGAGGCCTACTGGGACGCTAATATATTCTGCATTAAGATCATAATTTGAACCATAAAGCGATAGCAATCACCGAGTAACGTAAAATGATCTGGCGTAATTCGTGCTCTCGTATGGCATGTGTGATACTATACCAGTGGGAAAAATTTCCCCACCCGCCCTGTAGACCCAAAAAGGTTGTGGGTGGCCTGGTTCTGATGGCCTGGCCCGGCCTGCCCCAATAAATAAAGGCACCTATCGGGAACTCCAAACTCTCCATCTCCTTCCCTGCCTACGTCGGTATTATGACGCTAAAGTTGACTGGGTTTTTTGTCATTATAACACCTCGTAAATGGGCCTATTTAACAAATCTTGAAAAAAAAAAAAACTATGGGAACTAAATGTTAGCGGCATTAATCTAAAGCCGGGCACACACGGACGCAGACGGTCGTCAGACAACGCGATTCTATAAAGATCGAAACGGCCGGGACGAGGCGTCAGCAACGGACCGTTTTTAATGACGATTCACTCCCCGGGCTGCCAACAACAATCAGGACGCTGTCGCATCGAGCACTCACAAAAACCGGAGATAGATTCGTTGCCGATGCTCGTACGGCGACGTGTGAGCAAGGATTTAGGCTAAAAAATCATAGGGACCATTAGCGTACTTAGGACGAACGTACATATCGGAAACATTAAAAAAACACAAGCTCTTCATATAGACCCTTGTGTAACGGTATGTTCCTTGTTTTCATTCGATTTCGATTTATTATCATTGAAAACCGTTACACAGGCAGTAATGAAACTATACCAGACTAAATACTGTATTATTAATAAATGATTTGATATATAAACTTCTATAAAACAGAACAAAACGATGGAATCAAACTCATTTAATTTTCTATAGAGTGTATTTTCTTTTAAAAAATAATTAACAGTTTCTGTTAGGCAACAACGATAGCATTGTTATAAGCGATAAACAAGAAAAATAAACAGTTAAGCGTTTGGCCTAAACTACAGTACTATTTAACAATGCTTCATAAAATCAAGCGGTTACGAAAAAAAGTGGTTGAAAACGTAAAGTACCAGACGTATTATCATGCCTAAGCTTTCAGGACTATAATAAAATAATTTGCAGATAAATCTGGATATAGATTTTATGATTACTAATATTGCTTTTCTGTTATTATTCTTGACATGAACAAAGTGTCTTCTCAATGCCATGAGTACGTTCATGCTTATTTCTTTCACTGCTTAAAGAGAACCTTTCTTTGCAGAATTCGCATGCATGTAATTTCTCCATCGAGTGCGCTCGTTCATGACGTTGCAAATTGTAGATATCTTTGAATTTTCTGTTGCACTTGGTACAATTGTTCATAGTAGGCCTATGTGTCGTCTTTTCACGTGCATAGCTCTGACTTTCACATACATCACTTTTCATGTCATGTACATCGCTGACTAATTTCACGATTTCATCATCGTTTCTGTTATTTTGCACCAGGTATTCGCGTGTCTTGACCTCACCATGCATTATGCGATGTGTCATGTGCTCTGTGTGATCTTCTTTCAGTGACTCACATCTACTCTCATCACGCTTAATATCCTTCTTTTCTTCATAAACATTATTTCCTACGACTGAAGTATTACTTTTCTTTTCACTCATCACTACCGCCGGAATGGATTTGACCGTCCTGTGCCGCGCATCTTTGGATGTCAGATTCATGCCCATTAGAACTGATGTACGAGCGGCACGAGGAACGTCTTGAACGTTTTTTCCATTCGCTCTTTCCATCTTCAATCGCTTCACTATTGCCGATAATGACCTCTGTGCCCTTGTAAGTTCAATTTTCGGTCTTTTCCTCGAAGTTTCTTTCATGGTATCATCTGATTTTATTGGATGCTCTTCTGATGTCAACAAACCTTTCCTACTAACCAGTACACCTTCAGCAAACGTGACTCTCTTTTTCCCGCATCTATGGTTGAAATTGGATCTTCGTTTCAAAATAGATTTCAACACACCATCTGGCGCTTGGGTATCGTCCCATGTTGATTTACGATGTTTCTGATGACTTTTGGCCGGTAGATCTACCACCTTGTCACTTCCAAAAGCCGGCGTCTTCATTATCTTTTTGGTTACTTTCAAGGCGGTCTCATTGGCTTTACTTATCACATCCGTTACCATTGTTCCCTTCATACCAATTCTCATCGTCTTCGGTGCATGGACGCACGCACTCAAATCAGCAACCATTGGAGGTCCTTTAAGCAATACATTTGACGGCATGATAACTTTTGGTGTCAACGATTGCAACTCTTTATGTGATTTGTCTTCAAAAGAAGATGCATCGAATCCGGTTTTGAAAGAATCTAAAAATGTTTCGAATTCACTAAAGAACGATCGTTCCGAGTTTATTGCTTCAGATGTTGATCCATTGGTGTCAGGTGTAGTAACATGATGATTATTATTAATAAATTCCTTAAATGAAGAACCGGAAATAAGGGTGGGTTTATCAATGCTGAAAGTATTGCTTTCCTGAATAACTCTTGTCATCTGGTGACATTGAGTCTGATGAGAATTAACCGTACTCATTGAATTATGATCGGTGGGATCATCCTCGTGGTTATGACGCTGTAGGCACAGTTCAGGGCTATCGAAAGGTCTACCATTTCTGAACTGTTCATCGTTGAAATCACACTTGGTAATATATCGACGCTTAAAGTCGCCATTAACAAACTGTCTAAAGCACGACTCAAATTGCGACGGAATTCGTTCTTCCCTTTTCTGAACGATGTTCGTTTCTTGATTCATGTCTTTTTTTTCCAATTTGGAATATAGTTTGTCGTGTGCAGCGCTTCTCTGAACCAGAGCTAGTGACCTCATGTGTACATTGTGACTTGTCACTTCAAGTATTAGGATCGATCGACCATACCCTTGATGTTCTGACACTCTTCCTTCAGTCATACGATCGCAATCCTAAACATAGCAGAGAAATTATTATTATTATTTTTATTTTTATTTTTATTTTTATTATAATTATTATTAAGACATACCATTAGCATAGTTATATTCTCTACACCATCATGTTGCAATTGCACGTGTAGTATTACTACTGTATATTAGAATAAACGAATAATTATTGTTACATCAAAATAGATCAGTTGGTGATGCATTTGTGTTTGGTACCAAAGAGATCATGCCTTCAATTCCACAATACTGGTATGTTCTGTTCAGCAGGATAACAGATGTACAACACAAGCCCCATATGATAGTACAGAGTTTTGTAAGGACATATGCAGATGCATACCGAAACATGGGCAAGTACGTCTGTATATCTTCAATTTCAACTATCAAAATAACGCAAATGACAAATGGCATTATTCAACGAACATTTACCACTACCGTTGCTTTTCCAGGTAGGCATATGTGGCATTGCTATTAATGCGGTGCGCGAAATACTAGGTCTCTATGTGCCAGGCATGAGAACGCTGTGGTGGGAAATTTTTAATTTTTCTTTATATCACGAAAACCGCAGTATGGGTGATAGGCAGCTGTCGCTGACCAATGATGTTGATAAGTTGTACCATGGACCTATTAATAAGGTCCATGGTTGTACAACTGAATTTTCTAAGAAACAAAAAGCATATTTGACGAAAAACATGGGAATGGTTAATAAGATACAGATTTTTTAAATATTTAAAAACATAGTCTGAAACACTCGGAGATAATGCAGAATAAAGGTACTTTTCTGGTTGTTATTAGAAATGCACGAATTCTTCAGCTATAAATGATTTAACCACAGTCTGTGGTTTAACTGTACAAGAATGGACTGTTTCTTACTGTATGGTCCCTTCAACCAAAATGGTTTGATCCATAACTTGTTGTCATTTTGCTAACAGCTATAATGGCATTTTAAAGAACTGTACATGTGACACACTTTTTTAGCATGAAAATGTCAAATTATATGTATTTACCCAGTCAGTATCATGCTGACTGGGTTTTTTCCCCCAGCAGTTTCTTCTTTCTTTCTTTACCCAGTCAGCAGCTTGCTGACTGGGTTTTGTTTCCGAGTAGTTTCTTCTTTCTTTCTGGCAACATTTTAAAAGGCTACTAGTGGCAAACTACTGGACCGATTTAATTAAAACTTGGTCAGTAGGACCGGTGCCACCTCCCATTTATGTGTTGTTCACAACTTGGGTCAAAGGTCACATAAGGGGCATTAGGGTCAAAAAACCAAAAATCGTATAAAAGACTACTTGTCTCACAAACGTAGCACAGTCTTGTCCTTTGCACATATACATTGGCATAAGGCAGAGTCTATAGGGTGTTCAGTGATAACTGGTAAAAGGTCATTAAGGGGTAATTTTTATCTTTTTACTGGCAACATTTCAAAACGATACTAGTGCCATACGGTAGATATTAAGTTATTTATTTTACAAATTATGACATTAGGAATTCTTAAATAATGTAATAATACATTCATAGTGCGCGACTTTGGGGGTTTTTGTTAAAAAATAAACAGCATGTCGATTACTTTTAAAATATTTAACCACTCATTTTATTAACAAATATGTTCAAGATTACATTAACGCAATAAAAGTAAAATTTCCTTTTTTTTAATATATTACATTAAAACACAGGGACAAGAAAATGGCACTTTACTGAAGAATTACCTGGATACATCCTTTTTTCTGTCCAGTTTTCAAATATTCCAAAATCTTTATCTCATTAACCGTTACAGATTTTTTTCGTCAAATGCTTTTCGTATGTTACACCACAACTTGATGCGGTCTGTAGTTCTTATTAACGTTTACATTTAACATTTTTAAGTTTGCAAGCTGGGGGTTCCAGCCAGAGATCCCCGAGTCCATGACGGAGGACATGTCGGACCTCCTGTCGGCAAATTTCGTGAACTATTTCCCCCCCCCCTCCCCCTCAGGTCCAAGTATTCTAGGCCCAATTCGCATCAAACGCACTCGTCGGACCAAGGCCACACTCATACAAGTATGTAGGCTAAGCACAGCTGCTCTTTACAACCAAGTGCAGTGAAATTTTGTCATTAAGAACCGGCGACACCTCCTACACCTCAGTCTGGGATCAGGGGTCACAAAGGGGTCATCGGGGTTGAATTTTCAAAATAGCCCAATTGAGCTCAAATTTACCAGGAATGATCCTTAGGACCTTCTAAAAAAAAAATACTCTTTACCATGGCAAACGATTGAACCGAGTTTAATCAAATTTTACCATTAAGAATCAGTGACACCTCCTACACCCTTGTCTGGCATCAGTGGTTACATAGGGTTCATCGGGGTCAAATTTTCAAAATAGCCCAATTGAGCTCGAATTTACAAGGAGTGATCCTTAGGTGCTTCTAAACATGAAAAACTACTCTTCATCTATAGGTAAAAATTCACAAGGTTCACTATAGTGAAAATTATCAAGTATTTCTAGTGACTAACGATTGGACCAATTGCATTAGATAGACATGGGGTGTCCACAAGTTGAGATTTAAGGTCACAGTGGTTATCTCTTAAAAATGACTGGGTTCATACTCTATTGAACATAGTATCTCTAGTTCTTTTTTCTTTCTTTCTGGCAACATTTTAAAAGGCTACTAGTGGCAAACTACTAGACCGATTTAATTAAAATTTGGTCAGTAGGACCGGTGCCACCTCCCATTTATGTGTTGTTCACAACTTGGGGTCAAAAGTCACGTAATGGGCATTAGGGTCAAAAAACCAAAAATCGTATAAAAGACTACTTGTCTCACAAATAACGTAGCACAGTCTTGTCCTTTGCACACATACATTGGCATAAGGCAAGGTCTATAGGGTGTTCAGGGATAAGGGGTAAAAGGTCATTAAGGGGTAATTTTTATCTTTTTACTGGCAACATTTCAAAACGATACTAGTGCCATACGGTAGATATTAAGTTATTTATTTTACAAATTATGACATTAGGAATTCTTAAATAATGTAATAATACATTCATAGTGCGCGACTTTGGGGGTTTTTGTTAAAAAATAAACAGCATGTCGATTACTTTTAAAATATTTAACAACTCATTTTATTAACAAATATGTTCAAGATTACATTAACGCAATAAAAGTAAAATTTCCTTTTTTTTATATATTACATTAAAACACAGGGACAAGAAAATGGCACTTTACTGAAGAATTACCTGGATACACCCTTTTTTCTGTCCAGTTTTCAAATATTCCAAAATCTTTATCTCATTAACCGTTCCAGATTTTTTTCGTCAAATGCTTTTCGTATGTTACACCACAACTTGGTGCGGTTTTTGGTACCTATTAACGTTTACATTAACATTTTTAAGTTTGCAAGATGGGGGTTCCAGCCAGAGATCCCCGAGTCCATGACGGAGGACATGTCGGACCTCCTGTCGGCAAATTTCGGGAACTATTGCTCCCCCTCTCCCCCTCAGGTTAAAGTATTCTAGGCCCGATTCGCATCAAACGCACTCGTCGGACTAAGGCCACACTCATACAAGTACGCAGGCTAAGCATAGCTGCTCTTTACAACCAAGTGCAGTGGCGTACGTATCTAGGGGCACAACCCCCCCCCCCCCACAAAAAAAAATCACGGTGAATTAGTGGTTTTTTTCAAGTTGTAAAATTTGAGAATTATTTACAAAAACAAACTTCTACTGAACGATCGGTGTTGCGTTTCCCGACCGTCACCTGAATGATGTTGTAAACATTAGAAACACAATTTTAAACACAAAATACCTCGTTCTAAAATCTAGGAAGTGCAACGCTCTATTTATTCAGAAAATCCAGAGTACACGTCTCCGACCGGCCTGCTAAGCATGTGTGAGACTAAACACGAGGCGAGAAAAGGCAAGATATGTTCAAACATGGAGGAATTAGTCCTCCAAGGTTCAACTGATTGACAGAAAGTACAGTACTTACTGTTGTAATTGTGAGGACATCAACAAAATTAATGATCTTGTATTAACTATGACTGAATTTAAATGAAACGTAACACAATTTAAATGTAAAAAAGCAACGCTTCGCTAAAATCATATTGGGCAAATAACTCCATTATCACTGAAGCCACGCATATTACGTCTGTATGCTACCGAACAAGCCAGTTAGCTATTTTCTCTTATGCATTCCTGGAATGGCGGCGTACAAGGAATCAAACTACGTAGGTCAATGACCTTGTGTCTGCTTCTCCGAAAGTCAAACTTATTATATGCGATTCAAAACGTATTACTAAACTATTGTAGGCCTAATTTTTTTCATATTACAGCCATCGGAACGGAATCGGTTTTCTAGACGTCTTTTGAGCTTCACCCTTTATTATGTCTATTATATTACATAAAATTATGTCTATTGATCTCATGATGATGTTTCAATAAAACGAAGACGACAAAACAGAAATTACATTAGGCGAAGGCCTGCCTGGCCTAAGCCTGCTTGAAATGGACAGGCAGTAGGGCACCCCAACTATATCGACAAATAAAAGGCAAAATATGTTTACGGCCAAAAAAAAATGTACTTGTTTAGCGTCACACCCTCAAAAATGTTCAGGGGGGGGGGAGGATTTAAAAAAAAAAAATTTTTAGCTGGCCTAACTAGGCCTCAGACTGACTCTACTAGAGTCAAATCTTTGACAAAGGCCATAACGGACACCACATTTTACATAAAAGGTTTGTTTGCACAATATTTATTTTAATAGGCATTGACTTGTGGTTCCGTATAGACTAACTGCTGCAGTGCTAGGCTAGGCCAGGTGGGCCTCACTACATTACTAGGGTCTAGGCCTAGTTACATAGGCTAGGCCTAAAACACCTGCCAGTTGAAGCGTAGGTCGTAACCTATTATTTGTCTTCATAGTACTTTATTATTATCATATTTAAAACATTGTTTATTATCTAAAAAGAACCAAATAAAAACATGTACACACCTACTATACTACCAATCAAATCATAAGCACACGGATATGAGTTGAGGGAAGGAATCAATTTTTTTTTCTGCAGAAAAAACATACTTGTAATGTTAGTTAGTGGCGCACTTCACATCTTGTTCCCTGTGCTGAGAAATGAAAAAACTATCGTTTTTCCTCAAATATTGGCATTTTTTAGTCGATTTCCATCACTTTTTTACAAAAAAAAAAAAAAAAAAAAAAAAGACAGGCGGCTAGAAAATCAGGGTCGGGC